ACATTAGGATATAATATGAAAAGCTGATACGGGGAATTAAAATAGATTATAGTCGACATTATGGACTATAATGTATATACAGTATTTAATATTAAATTGGAGTGTGCTTGCTAACTAGCGAATTAGCCATTCCACCAAGGTTATAGCGTACTAATAAATATCTGTATGGAAAACTTTACCATCTAGCAATGTATTGATGATGTCTTGACACAAATAATACAATTTACTAAGAAATCCACATATTCTTTGTTTTTTTCACCTTTCATGTGTATTTTTAAGCTTTTACCTGTCCGAAAGCATGTGGTCTGAATTTAATGATGACGAAAGCCTGACCCCGAATGTTGTTCTACGTTGAATCTTGTTATGTTTTATTACTATCAAGACACCGTACTTTTGTAAACTTGTGGCGTTGATATATATTGGTTTGATGCCACTACGCCAGTATCCCTACTATTAAGAATCGCATGTGAAATATCACTAGGCACTCATGAACTCATTCACCCCTGCAGACACATTTGAACTCTTCCAGTTTAAAGGTTGGAATAGTTCATTATGAAATTGCAGGGCTAAATGAATTCATGCCCTAAACTTGTTTTAATTATATTGATGATATGATAATGTTTGGTACATTTACTATTCGACTGTTAAATTCTCGTTTGAAATATTGTTTAAAATTATCGTAAACGCAGCTGCGCTTTTTAACTTTATTCGAATGGAACGAAATATTTCGCTTCTTTTGTAGAAATAATGATCGTTGAGATCTATAAAGGATTGTCGCGTCTTATTCAAACTTCCTATATCAGGGTCAGACTTTCAGATCGCCATTCCAAGTGCGAAGACGTTTTACGTAATTGGACCTGATCATCCACATACCAAAGTCTGCATTTTTGTGAATCCTGTTGACTGAGAGTGAACCACCTGCCCCAGAAAGATTGACCATTGAGGAAGTCACCCTACTTCGGCGCAATGAACGGTCCCCAGAACTTCCGGCTAGAAGAGAGCAATGTCATACTGTACCGTAGCAATTCATCTACGATACAAACGTTTGTAGGGCGTGTATTTCTCTGTAATCTGGTTGAAACAGAAGCTTCGTTGTCTTTCCACAGAGGGTAAGTTGAAACAGTTGAATTGATTTATTAGTGTACAGGGGGTAGCCATTCACCATTAATAATGCAGCATAATGATTGCTGAAGGCGTGCTCATGGGACCAGATAACAAATAAAAGAAGTACTACATCATGGCTTACGTTTTATGATACCATATCACTCCCAGCCTGTCTACTGATGTAAAACATTAAACGCACGAAATTCACGTGCAGCCTCATCAAATACCATATATCTCCGTGTCACTATTTTAAGCTCAAGATACTACGAAAACGTTAAAATTTATGATTTTAGTCCATCACATAAAAGAAGTTCTTTAACGAAAGCAATGTTTTACCCTGACACCAGAAATGCTGAGGCTGTGCCAGAAGATGTAGTACCTTTCGTTACTGAGGTTACGCACGTCGCCTTTTGATATTTTGTTGTTATTCGTTAGTAGATGTGAGGTACCATGCTTTAGGTAATCATTGTTTGGCTTCAACACTGTTAGTCAGTAAGGGCTGTTGATCTTTTGTTGTGCAATGAGTGCCTGTGTGCGTGTTAACCCCCAGTGATGACACGTATGGGATGTATAATTAGAATTGTCACATGTTAGGCGTCAGTGAAACATATACAAAACAATTTACAATGAAACCGCCCTTATACTGACACTATGTAACCCCATATCCCCCGAAAAAAACCGTACGAAAGGAAATAAATTCAAATATGAATTGGACCAGTTGGGCGAGATTCTATTGGTATTGGTATTGTCATATCCTTGTCAATTAAAAACGTGTCACATCAATGTTGGGATAATATTCAGTATTTCAGTATCATATTAAATAGCAAATAATCAAATTAGGTAGCAGTCAATTAATTTATGATAATGTATATAAATGAATAAATATAACTTAGTGAATACATAAATGATATGGTAGCGATTCAACCTACTGAGAGCAAGATGAACTATTAGCGTTTTAACATTAGCGAAAAAATGTAATTCGAAGCTAATTAACGTTACATATTAGCTATGTAATATTTATAGATAAAACTACATGATAGTTTTAAATTATTAATTTTAGCAATTACGTATCAGGTTCACAAAAGTATTCTACATAATGATAAAATCATGAATGTTTTGCAATGGAAGTCATGATTTTTTTAAATATTTCGAGTGGAAAAAAACGTGATTTACTAATTTAGATTTATATCACCTTCTATATAAACAGTTTTGAACATGGTGAAATTGCAGAATTCTATAACATTTCTACTAACATATTTCTATCGATTGAAATGTGCACTCTTTATATGCATATCGCAATACTTCTGTGAACTGATATTTGAGCAATATGGTACATATATGATGTAATGAAGAAAACTTTACTGGTGCGAGGGCGCTGTACAGTCCAACGGACGTCTATGGGAACAAAGAAAATCACGTGTGACTACCTATATCTAAGTGTTATACCTGAGGAGACGGACGAAGCATATCCTGTATCGTTAAGTTTGGATTTATAGCCAAACGTGCCACTACCCTTTCGGGTCCGGAAACTGGTCTGTCCGTCTGGTGAGAGGGTATCCCTGAGGTCAAAATTAGATCGTCCTTTTGCTGCAGATACAGAAGTTAGTACATCCATCACCTTGGTTACAAGTGACCATTTCTGGTCGTATCACAATCACCTTTTGGACAATCTTTTGAGACCAACCTCATCATATATATTTATAGCGGAGGTAACCAGTTGTGTTTTGTCAATTGAACATTGACATGGTCGCATGTCTTCTAGTATATAAAATATATTTCAAGATTATAATCATCGCGGTTTTTTTTTTTGCCAATTCGGTGTTCATCGGTTTAGTCTCAAAAGATTGTAGTAGACCTGCAATAAAGACATCAATACATTTCGTCATTCCACCATTACCTGAAATAGGATCGAAATGAAAACAAGATGCATTTCAGTTAGTCCTCACCACCTGTTCTCAATATTAACTTGTTAAACATTCACTATTAAAAGAAAATGCAAATCATATTCATCATTCACATCATTGATAAAAAAACAACAAACATCTAACCGACACCGATCGATTCGGAAAAAAGAACTCTCCATATATTGGAGGTACTTACAGGTCGTGGTTGAGGGATATATAAGTCTTTCTCCTGTTGGTTGACACATCAAATTAGTCAAACAGTTAGAGCAATAGTCTTATTTTTTAAATGTTATAAGTCAGACAAACACCAACCAATGATGGATCTTTTTTGAACGCAGAACCAATACCAAATAATTACAAAAAAACATTTGATTAAGTATGTTGAAAATACAACCAAACACGTATACCAAACATCTAGCTTTAGTATGTTAACAACAAAAGAAACCGCTGACGTAGGACATATAACAACATTGTCATTAACAATAGTTTAGTAGAAAGCGAGTTTAAACGACAAAGTGATCCTGATAATATAAGCTAGCAAATATGTATATATATATTACACATATGTTAGGAATACAATTCAAAGCCTTGTGCTCAGTGTTAGATTGATGTGTCCGAATACTGTAATTAATAAAGCAAGCTCGTGGCCTGATAGAACCTGGGATATAGACACACAAATATTTCATTTGTTAAGTTTTAAAAAACAAGACACTCATTATATGTCCTATAAAAATCGTAAATATCATTTAAAAGGGAGACAATCTTGCGACGAAAACAAACTTGTTCCAAATCTACTAAACAAATGTTACAAAGAATTATAACATGCACCTAATATGTAACCTATGTACAGGTCTTGTTCTTAATAACGAGTATTACTTTTTAAGAATTTGAAGAAAACACATTTTTTCAATAATATAAGTTATGCAAATGTAGTTTCTTCGATACATTAATTATAATGTAAAATCAAATAGATTTGTATATGATAAAAAAATATCCACAATCTAAGGCTATGCATACGGAGCATTATCACGTACCTCGACAAGGGTCATTTGTTTCCAAGAACTCATCTAGTGTAACCCAGCCTCCGCCTACTCGGACCATCACAGTACTGTTAAGGAACCGCACAAGTCGGATGTTCTGTTTCTCGCCGAACTATTTTAATGAAAAAATAAGGGAACATTTATTTTCATATTCTTGTTTTTAATTGATATCTTTTTTACAACATAACGCATATAATATACAACGTATTATTGTTAATGTTTCTTTTTTTCCTGTTACAAATAATATGTAGTCAGTATAACGTTGAACCTACCCTGTATTTTCCCTCTGAAAGCCTCTCCGCCCTGAACGAATTCCTACACTGACAACCAGATATCTCTTTCTCAACGTTATCATGAATCAACTCGGCGTCCGTCATCTGGCGGTTACTACTGTTCAGACGGGTCTTTTGCTGCAATACAAGAGTAAAGGTTTTGAGATAAATGTATATAACGTGTATATAACGTTTTCTGGAAAATTATATTTTGAATTATATCATTTCTATTGCGACAATTCCAGTTCCATTATTGTTCCGGTTTTCAGGTATTTTTCATGTCAACTTTAGGTTCGATTTTTTTCAGTTCAAATTCATAAAAAAAAAGTTTGCCTCTGTAGACTGACTTACATGTCTTGTTGGTTTTAATGCCTCGATGAAGTCCTTGTATTCTATTACATCTCTGCCATCTCGATCAAATATATCAAATACAGCGTGGAGCTCTGTTCGATTTGTGGGGAAACCTGCAACACATGACATTATTGCCATTACTCTCCTGACAGCACCAGTATGTTAAATTCAATATCTAAAGTTCTAAATGGTTTTACAGCAACCGTTGCCCTTACGATTTAGATATGTCTCGGAACGCTGATGGATTTTTATTCCTGTGTAATTTAGAACCAATAATGAGTTATAAACAGACGAAATGGTCATATGGTGCAGTAACAAATATATTTTGGCTTTCTGCGCCAACCTACAGGGTTTTGACATTATTTCATTATTTCACAATCAAACATTTGTGTTAGTTTTTCGCCAATAAAGCTGTATGAAATACAGTACTCCGCTGTAATGTAACATAGTTATAGGTTGAATATTCTCACTCACGTGTTATAAGCATCCCGTTAACAAAGTCGTCCCTGAGTAATAATCCATCTCCTCGTTTATCCTGTCGTCTGAAGAAGTCGGTAACCCGCATCTTTTTGGCCTTAATCCAATTCAGATACTTAGCCTTCCACACACCAAAGTCAAACGTTTTAAAGCTCTCCAACTGCAAATCAGTTTAATAAAACGCTTAAAATTTCACAAAATCATATAAAAAGAAAGAACCAAAGCAACAAAAGAACCAAAAAATAACAACAAGGAAAACTAATCGTTGACATATTTGTAGCACGGTGCTAGCAAATTTGATTGAATGTTTCAACAGAGTATATACATGTATATCAGGCATTTCTGTATAGATGTTTATACTGTTTTTTTCACTTTTTCTTGTACTTGTTGATCGACATTAGGTGATTTAATTAGAAGTTGTCCCTACATACTGATATTGCTACTTTTTCTTACGTCGTTATATGGACCAGTGACTGTTTCATAAGAAAAGAGAAAATCACGTGACTTACCTCTAGTAACGTGTCAAGCGCATCCTGTAAATTCTTCTTTCGATCAACAGACATTCGCCACACAATCCTCCATTTGTTCTGTAGAGTTATCACCCGTGGATTGAATATGTCGTTTTCATTTAACTTCATATTGCTGAAAAAAGATCAGAACAGATATTAAATAGGTAGGTTTTCTCTATTAAAATGCAGTAGAGGTTTTTGAGAGAGTTATGTGACAAAAAGTGGATTTTAACCTAGTCTTATCAATTCTGTGTTTGATTTGCGACATTTTCTACTTTCATCCATCACATTGCAAACCGAATATTCTTCAAACAGTATTACATATATTTATTTAAATGAATGTACCAATAATTGTCTTACCTGCCGTGAATACGTCCGGGCGATTTAGGTTCCGAATTTATAATTTTGGTTAATCGCTCTACGTCATTATTTTTACTGGTAATTTCGTCGTGGAATTCCTGTAAAAGAATAGTTAAACATATACAAAACAAAGAAATTCACACATCTTTTAACAAGTTCATTTACATTATATATATAATAACAAAATAAATTACAGTAAAATGATGACGTACCATAGACAAATTGATAATTCGAAGATAACACTTACCACGTGATCCTTATAGAGATCCTCCACGACCTTGAGGTCATCTGGAATTGGGTCACGCTCCTTGGTGGACAGGAGGACCTGCGCGTCCGTTAGCCAGGCCAACAGATCTTCGACCAAAGCGGCGTTACCTTGGATGCTGCGCAGTGCTTCCTGTAACCTTTGACCCCTGTTCTTTGCTCGTTGTAATAACTAAAAATAAAAGAGTAGTTATGTTAGCTAGGAAAGTTTGACGTTCATAGTAAGGTGGAAAGTTTTATACAGCTTTAATCCATTTAAAAAGCTTTTGAAGCGATATATTCAATAGATTCCAGACAAAAAGAAAACGATTTTCACAAACGTAAGCTTATAGTAACGCTTCAGTGGTTCAATGTATTTTGAAAACAGTTGTTGTGGTATCGAAATGATCTACATATTTTATTACGGCACGTGGGAGTTGGACGTACATAATCAATATAATTGAGAACAAAACAGAAAAAAATATCTGATTAATAATTTGAGTTATAAGTATTGAACTGTGAAAGTTTAATCAATTACTGCCCGACTTTCGTTTACTGAAGTGTACAGTTTTACGCGTTCAATGTTTTAATGTATTCGAACGTATGCAATATACACACTACTCTGAAGATGCTTTATCGGAATTCGTCAATCCTTTTGTGAAAACTTTTAATTTTAGAACAGGGGAAACTTGCTTAAACTACACATTATGGGTAAGTATGCCTTGCTATATTCTGACCAATTCCAATGAAGTTATCGACAGAGAAGTTATATATTTACAAAAGGTGAAATGATAGTTAAATTGAATATACATGTATATATATATATATATGAACCCTGACACAGCTGTAACTCCTGTGAGTCACATTGACCTTAATCATTGATTTTATATATATACATTATACAACTTAAAACCTATCGACTTTTACTATGAATGCTGTGTTGGTTTACGATTTCAAACAAATGTAGATTTATAAGTCACTATTAACGATATCTTATGGTTTACCTAAAAGCTAAAATACCGCCACCTTCACAGAAAATGAAATGTGATAAATGAAAGCACTTGGACTGGAAATGGGCCGTCATAAAAGGCAGAGATCAAACTAGTTTCGGAGGTTTCTGCTGAATAATTAGCAATAAACAAAGACTTCATATTTGGTTTCTATGTTCTCCAGTGTAACACATGTTGTAACATCTTTTAAACGAAATGTTTGAATCTACTTTGATTTATGTAAAATGATCACAAGCTAGAGACAGAAAAGGCATTGGTAGACATTTCAATCTGCTCGTGACAACTTGTCAGCTTCGGTTCCAACCTGTTCCTAAAGTTTTTTCTACCACGTTTAATCTGTTGAAACGAATGATCCGAATAAACGAAATAGGCATAAGTTTCCTTTTGATCGTCTACATTACAGTGCTTTTTGGAATGTGACTCATCTTCGACTCATCTTCACGTTTTGTTCGTGCGCTTTCGTGCAAATCGTTTTTTCTTTGGAAGACATGAAATATCACATCGTGGTCATAATTCGATTGATTAAGATCAATTGGAAACAAAAAAATGTTACATGATTTACCAAATGCATGCATGGTCACATTTCTCAGTATCTGATGTAATAATAGTTGCACAAGCGTCATCCAGCCAGCGTATGCTTATACACTGAACATTGAAAAGTCACACATCTGTAAACGCAACAGCATTGGGATTTCACACGATGGTAAACATCATTCGGTGAGATGTCAACATACCGCTTCGCTACGCTGACCCATGTTTAGGTTAACGTTAATGCTAGGATGTGTTTCCAGCTACGTTCATGTACTACAGGAGACATTACTACTTAACGTCTTAACGTTGAGTATAATAAATTGTTGAAATAGCTTACCTGGTCCCATCTTGTCTGTGTAATGGTGAGGTAATATTTCACAAATCGTATGGCGTTTGGATGACAGTTTTGTAAAATTTCTTCTGCTAAAAGTTTGATTTTATCTACACAATCCTGGTGATTCCTGAGATCTTCTTGGAATTTCTGTAAAACAAAAAATAGGGTAAAATGAGAAAAGTATTCGACTTATAGCAATATTGTGTAAGCTAACTAGAACATAATTTGGAAATATTAAAGTAATATACAGCACACATTTTACCATTATTATTTTATGAAGGGTCGGTATCACTCTTACCTCATGTTTTTCGATAAGCTGAATTATAGCCACCTCGTCGTCAGGGAGCGCTCTGTATTTCAGCTCAGCTTCTGCCTGGGGTAAGAACTCGCGCATCACCTGGACGACATCTTGGAATTCCTCCGCCTAGTGAATGAAAATAATGAAAATATCAAGTTTTAGGGACTTTTGGCCTCATATTAAAGCCTAGCCGTTAGGGGGATTATACATGTGTTCCAAGATCTGATGTTCAATCTAATATATGTGAGTGCTTAATGTATTACCAGTTGGGGAATTGCATGATAATGATACCTAAAGGTTGGTGGGAGATTATCATAGTATCAAAACCCAGAGTTGAAGAAATGAGAAAATAATTATGGAGTCTTTCAGTCTGTTTGAGGGATTATATGAAAGTGCCTAAAGGCAAGAAGTTGGAGAATCATATTGTTAACCTACCAGTTGGAGGGAGTCCCGAAGTTTGTTTTCACGGATTATACTGTTAACCTACCAGTTGGAGGGAGTCCCGAAGTTTGTTTTCACGGATTATATTGTTAACCTACCAGTTGGACGGAGTCCCGAAGTTTGTTTTCACGGATTATATCGTTAACATACCAGTTGGAGGGAGTCCCGAAGTTTGTTTTCACGGATTATACTGTTAACCTACCAGTTGGAGGGAGTCCCGAAGTTTGTTTTCACGGAATATATTGTTAACCTACCAGTTGGAGGGAGTCCCAAAGTTTGTTTTCACGGATTATATTGTTAACCTACCAGTTGGAGGGAGTCCCGAAGTTTGTTTTCACGGTGGTCGCTGAGTCGGTTGACTCGATCCCAGGTGGTCTCCAACTCCTCTAGATGCGACGCTGATACATTTCCGGCAGCTTTCATTGCTGCCACGGTCTGTTCCCGGGCCCCCAGCTCCTGTTGCATACCCTGTGGGAAACATGACAGCTCGTTTTATTACCAAATATGGCTAACATTACTAAAGATGCCAAAAAACACCTGCTGCTTGAAAAGTACAAAGTTAAGCAAAATAAAACCAATATATATATATATATTGCAGTTATGACATCATAGTAATTTTCCCTATCAGTGTAACTTTCAACTAAATTATATATATATATTTTTCTGGATTTGTCGTGTCCATATTAATGATGATCCACTTAGTCAATAATTCCTAGTTTGTGTACGGTATATAATGCGGTTACAGTGTGTATAATACACAAACGTACATGAGGTCATTTATCTAGAGTCCGTACAATGGGGCAGTGTAGGTCATCAGAGTTATAGACTGACCAGTCAGCGAATAACAGTAAAATTAATTTGTTGTAGAATTGTGACATTACTATGTCTATCAAAGGCCAATTACACGGTCAATTGTCTATGCCTGCGGCACCGGCTTGAGTTCTGTCTAGAGTGACCTAACACCTCACCTTGACTGGACAGTGGTGTTTGTCTGGTTTCAATGGGATAAGCTGCAGCCTATCTTACAGTACGACTGTCCATAAAACAGACACCAAGAAGAGTTCTTACTAATAAAATGGCTTGTTAAATATAAATAAACTAACTACCCCACCCCCTCCACCAAACAAATGGCGCCACTTCCTGTTCCGGTCTGTACCTTGTGCTGCTCAATGAGCATGTGTATGGTATCCAGGTCGCCGAGGACGGGCTGATCCTCTGCTAGGGTTGCCTCTGCCTTGCCAAGCCATTCCAGCAGTGACGTCAGAGCGTCCGTCACCCGCCCCGACGTTAGTAGCGCCTCGTCCAGCTTGTTCTGGCTGAAATGACACAAACGATGGTACTCAATATTGAACAATGATGGAAATGAAATAGAAATAGAAAAATAGGTCTCGTGATAGAAACGGAAGTAACGCAATGACGAAATCGGAAGAAGTCATTACAAATCAATGGTGGAAGTAATGTTGATAATTTTGAATGTTCTTTCATCAATTTATATATACTTCTATTTAATGATAATTATTTTCCGAAACTAAAAAACCCACCTAAGATAACCTGTGAGTATAAATGTATTGGTTTCAACAAGGATAAACAAAGTATTCTCTTTCTTTGTCCATTCTTTATTCCTATCTACACTGGTTTGTTAGGAAATGTACGAATGTAAATCAAAAGTAGGAACTATGACCCTGGTCGTTGAAATCCTGGGAAAATACATATGGCAATATTGTGATAGAGTGAACTCGGGACAAGTTGGGCGTGAATCGCAACCACAATACAAAGTAAACAGTTTTTTGTTATGGACTTTTGGGCATACTGTCAAGACCTCTGTAGTATTACAAGACCTCTGTAGTATTAAGCTTAATGACAAAATAAAGTATTTATCTTTCAAATTCAAAGCCTGTTGGTATATCAGTCATTTAGTGTGTTGGGGATTAATACAGGGCAACACATATATTGGAGCAAAGATTAATATGTTAAGATATTGGGTATTAAGCTGACAATACTTGATATATTAAAGTATCACCTTACTGACTTAGTGTTGTATCGTTAGTTCACGACACTATAGTCATCTTACTGCTCAGCATTATTGCGTGCTGGTAACTACATGTATACGTACGTTTATGTACAATAATATTTTTTGCAATGCTGACGTAGTTATGAATGTAAATGTTGAAAGTGTGCATTTACTCCTCCTTTCATACTCTAGCCACTAAATCGTTTAACATGCAACGTTTCTTTTGTGTGTATACAATATTAATCTTATGCTAATAGTAGACCTGTAAGATATACGACGAAATAATTTATTTTCTATACGATTTTTTTGTATTTGCATTAATTTCCCAAATGGGTAATATGTTTTGATACCGGGTTATCTCTTCCACCAACGTACCCTCTCATACTCGCCCCCAAATAACTCCTTCTACGTCAAACCCCAAACCGCCTTCTACGTTGTCAATTAAGTACCCCTCCTACTTCCTCCCCATAGTACTCTCTCAAACTTCACCAGACAAGTACAGTCATACGACGCGCACCTGTTGATGAGTGTTCGTTATTAGGTCAGTGCAGACTACAGTTTGATTTCGATGACCTGGCGGTCTACGTAACGTAAACAACAGGTCAGAACACACGGCGATACCCAGCTTCACTTACACGATAACACGGAATGTGTGTCATTAGACGTGACGTAGAGCTTTAACAAGTGGTTGTCAACTGTTTAGGGAGTTTATCCGTCAATCACTTAAGTAAATATCACAACGGGTCCAACGCTACTTAAGTCAGGTATGGAGGTGATGTTACAGGGGACAAAGACCCTCACTTGTCCAGGTCTGTTCTAAAACTTATAGCGAAATTCCTCCCGATATCAATCTGGACTGTCTGTGGTAGTAATATATGATATAGATAAACATGCTTATATGTTCTAATATTACATACTTAATCGCAATAACATTGAACATGAGATTTAAATAACACACTCAATGCCAGTAACTTCTCTAGCGGTAGTACAGTTCAACAATGCTTGAATTCCAAAACTACTGCAGACCAATGCAAAACCATTCATTAAATAAGAATTCGCATCATATGTAAGAAGTATTAATTCAAATTAAAACAATAAAGGTCTTCGTCACTGATCATATAACCCTTCCTATAATACCCCCCCACAAACTGACAGATCACAAAAAAAAACGTACTGAGAGAGGTTCAAATGCTTTGTTAATGCAAGTGTCACAATATCGGCGTCAATAATGGCTTACACCGTAACCTCGTAGCCCCCTGTTCATTACTAATTATATCCCCACTGTGTGCGTTCCGGGGAACAATTTACTCCGTCAGCTTCGACAATTAAACTTTTTGGATTCAGATTTCACATGGAGACACGGCGACAAAAGCGAATGAGAATGCCGAACTAGTAGAATACAAAATTAGTTTTTTAATTGGTTGTTTCCCTCCCGTGTTGCAAAACATTTGGAGGTCAACGTTTTAGGAGTCTGGGTAAGTGATCACTATTGAGATCACGTGACATACATACTTCATGTATTTAGCCAGCTATATAAACACAGGTAAGATGATATTATCGGAGAGAAAGCTTAAATGCCTATAAAGGTGTGATTGGAAGAGATTATAGCCAATGGCGAGCTTAATCTGTAAATATGGGTTTCATGGACACAATAAAAGTTAGCACTATATGGAAAAATATGGGTGTTGGTGTCCTCTCTCTGTCGACTCTGAATTTCGATTTTGCCCCTAAAACTGACATCGTAATACATTATGTACTTGTTTTGTTACAAACAACATCAATCAACGTTAAGTCCAACACAGTTAGAACAGCCGTTTGCTCAGTGTCTCAATGTTTTCCACTGCAGTATTTTCTGTTTATAGTCCGTGTTGACATTAAAGGTTCCAAAAAATGTCCTGTTGGGTATTGACAGTATGGAAATTGTTTTTAGTTTGATACAGATGCATAAATCATTACATATATTTATAGTTTGATGTTCGTATTATCCACCTTTTAATAAAAGGTAAACTGTTTCATTTAATCGAGTGACAGTTGGCCCTGTTCTCGTATAGGAAGAGCAAATGTATAAATAGTCACGGCTTTATCAACGTGTGTATACTGACTCACCTATGTCAGTCTCACCTGTGCGACTAGGTGCCCAACAGGTGTGTGATTGAACAGTCGTTTGATCTTTTCCGTTAACAATGTAAACGTCAAGCTATGTAGCATTAAACAATTGTCATAGCATAGTTAAATGTCCTATTTTATACGTTTCTGTGGAGATGATGTGCGAAAATAGAGCCACACGTAAAATCTGATTCTGTGAAACATGTGCTTAAGACTGATAATGTGACTCGTACGACAACAAAATGTATTGAAAGCCAAGTCGTATATGTTACACAGTGTACTATAGAGGATTTACATTTGACAAAGAGGTCGATCAGAATTGCAAAAACGGCGGTTAACTCTAATAATGGGTAAGTTAAATACGACGTTCATCCTTGTCAATGCTTGAAACAAAGTATTCAAATTTGTGTCTTGTAAAACTTGTGTCATGACAACAAATGTTGCTATGAATCGGATGACACTTGGGTGGCTGTAAAAATATACACCAATCACCGGTGCTACGTATACTGACCTTCGTGGTCACGTGACCTATTCTTACACACAAATTCGGCAATTAACACCCTGGTGTGCATTTACACACAAAGTGATAATTCCATATAAGGTCAAGAGGTTAAATATCGGTCATCATGATTACTATCGTCTAGGCATTATTAAAACCCAGATGGTCGTTTAAGAACTAGCGAACTGAATAGTATTAATTAATGTATCCTCATAATCTACTATACAAAATAACTCAACGGCATTTCATTCGTAAGGGGGAAAAACCCCAAATCTATATTATCAATTCACAATGACATAATCCGAATTCACATTCGATACAAAAATACAACACATATCAAAAGCTGCAAGAATTTAGAAGATACCTTGGAAAAAAAGACATTCTAAATATCCTGAAACATGAGGAAAACGCTTTGCGCCGAAGTGTTAACGATTCCGTCAACACAGACCACAAGCCTATGTAGGTAACCGATTCTCGATGACATAGTATAAAGCATAGTAGAAGCTAATATCTCATTGTTTATGAATACTGTAAAATTTGAATGTTGGTCATCACGATACCATATCTACCTAAATTATCTGTAGTGCATGACTCCTTCCCCAAAATGTTGTCAGGAAACTTGATAATCAACTTTCAATGTATCAACTGTTTTACTTCAAACGACATTTTCCCTGAAGTTTCATGTGTTGAAAATAACAATAAATCAGAAAGGGGCATAGCATTGTGGATCAATTCATCAGAGTCCAAGACTCCACGAACTTTGCCTTGCATGCAATGTTAATAACGCGTATTTCCCATGTGCTACACACAACAAAGTCATTAACAAACGCCAACTTTTATGAGAATTCCTGGTTTGAGCTAGATGCATATTGAGTACGAGGGGGTCAGGCAAACTACTTTCTGGCCGACCTCACCTGTAGACTTTGGGTAATGTCATTTGCGGGGAATGGATACATCAGAATTATCGGCAACCTGTCAGCTTATCGGTAAGACTGATTGTACACAGTAGGAACACAGCACGGTTAGCTTAACGCCAGACAAATCGTCAAGAATACCGTCTTTTACTAGTACATACTTTCGTAAAACTGATCTGTTTCAAGTTTTTTTACTCATCTATATCATCGTTGAAGTGAACCTGTAAAGTCCTTCATGAGCATAAACAACGTGTTATGCTTTAATTATGTCATATCCATAGTGATATTCCCAGTACAATACCAGTGAGATATGCACGATGTAAACAAGCTTGATTTTGTTTAGAATTACTTAAACAGTTTGTTCGTTATAATATGACTAAGGTATTAATACTGTAAGTTCCGTGTGAATATTTCTAGTGAAAAGCGTTAAGCTAAAGCTGTGTAAACTTTGTACGGATGAATTTATTACGATCAATACGTCCCAGCTGCTACTTGACGCTATCGTCTGCTCCGAATTTAATCTCCCGCCATTATTCCCTGTGCGTATGAATAATGCACGACCACGTACGGCCGCATCACCCCTACCCGAAGTCAGGGTGGTATGTCGTAACATCACATGTGAGACATAAGACTGTTTATTATGTTAACTTACAGACTTTTGTGTGATCCATAATGAAATTTACTATATCACACCCGAGACTAGAGCACATCATTCGTGTAACGCACTTTTGGATACAGGTTTGGAATGGGAGGACATTATTAGAGAGTAAATAGACACATTCAAAG